GCATTTAGTGGCATTTAGTGCATGCATCATGTTGTACAACCATCACCTCTGTCTGCTTCCAAAGGATCTCCATCACTTGAAAATAAAACCTCATATTCATTAAGCAGCCCCCTAGTCCCAGCCCCCAGCCCCTGGCAACCACCAATCTACTGTTGGTTTCTATGGCTTTACCTATTCTGGATATTTCATATAAATGGAGTCACACTCTATGTGATCTTTTGTGTCTGGGTTCTTTCACTTAGCATGATGTTTTTGAGGTTTATCCATGTTGTGTCATGTATTCATACTTTCTCCCTTTTAATGGCTGAATAATATCCCATTGTATGTATCATGATTTGTCCATTCACTTGTTGATGGACATTTAGGTGTTTCCACGTTGGACCATTGTGAATAATACTGCTATTTACATTCATGTACAATGATATTTTTGAGTCCCTGTTTTCAATTTGGGGGTCGGTACCTAATAGTGGAATTGTTGGTCATACACACGCTGTTCTTTTTCCATGGAATGCCCTTCCCTCCTCATATCCACTTCATCCAGCTAACCCTCTTCCCCATTAGATCTCCCTGTTTAGGTTTTTTTGCAGGAAGCCTTCTTGGTTGCCCCTCCTGTCAGAGCATTCAATACATGCCTCTGTCAAAGCAATTCTCTCTACATTGTATTTACTCAATTCCTTTTGTCTCCCTCTGTTAATACATAGTCTGAAATCAGAGACTATGCCTTATTCAGGATGTATCACCAGTGTTATCAGAGTTCCTGGGTATCCTAAGTGCTCAGAAATCATGTATTGAATGAATGAACATATGGATGAATGAATAAACTTTTTTGACAACTCCAATCCTCCTTAGTATTCCTTTCCTCTGATTATCTTATAGTCCTTGGAGTCTACTACACAATTTGACATTTAATCATAAATTACTTTGTAGAGTTCTAAGTTATTTCATGCATGGAAGTATTATCTTCCAAATGCAGGCATACGCTTCTTAAGGGAATAATAATATCACTTTCCTGTTTCTTCTACAATCCTGATCACATAGTAAGTGCTCAAGAAACATTTCTTTTTATTGTCCTGAGACAAAGAAGATGGCTACCCAAGGCTTGGAATCATAGAATTTTAAAGTTAGAAGGACTGTAGAGTCATCCAGATAACCTACTTCCAATACTTGTTCCACTGAAAGATTTCATTAGAAAGATTATCCTGGAAAAAAATAGCTTCTCCTCTTGTCCCTGAAGTGAATCAAATTGCTTTTTCCTATATCTGTACGAGAGAGCCATCTGCTGTGCCCGCGGGAGAAGCTTCCCCAGCTCCCCATGGAGGGTCTGATGGGGAGCTAACACCCTGTGCCTTTCCTACACTTTCATTAGTGACATTTACTTGAGAGTCCTATGCTGGGATGCCTTTTGTTTCCATAGGATTTCCTCTAAAAATACCACAAAATAGGTTGTCAGGGAGATTACATGAAACTCAAATGATACATTTGGTATTTAATTCTAAAAGCACAACCAAGTAAAGACAGTGTTTGTAGCTGCAAATTTTAAATCTGTTGCAGAGTTATTCTGTTGTCTGCCACCTTAATATTTAAAAACCTCTTTCCAGGCGAGGGACATATCTAACAATTGCTCAAAGAAACAACTCAGGGTGTAAAAAGAACACAAGCAGGAGTCTTACTGCGCTCATATCAAATAGTCCCAGTACCTGCATTCCCAGGAACGCTGAGCAGTGTCCAATGGAGATTAGGATCGGGTATGTCAGCACCACGCCGACATTCACCAGGATGTTGAAGACTGTAAAATTAAGGAGGATATTGACAATATTGGAGGATAAAGGGGAGTTGATATGCTTGGTGCTTTCCTTCTTAACATAAAAAAATCAATGTCAATGCCTTTTAAACTGTCTGCACCTTTGGTCAATTAATCCTCTGATTTTGGAGGTAGATGCATGGGTATCTCTCCTGAAGTAGTCTTATTCTCTTCTCCTCCTCTGCCACTCTGGTTGCCTGAGCTCTCGCCAATTGGCTAACAAAGGGTGTATGGCGCAAATGCAAAACGTGAAATGATCAATTCACTATGCTGTCATACTGCACCCAGTGGAGTGTGAAGACCTCGCTGCTTGGGGCAGGACCACAGTGTCCAGTCGCACAGGTGGTACCCAGCCCGAGCAGGCTTGCTCAGGAGCATGTCCAGGGCTACACGCTGGAGGAGGGCTACTTTGCAGCAAGCTGGAGATCATGTGCCCACAGATGGGGCCACGAGTCAGGGAAATTTCGATTGTTCCCAGTTAGACTGGTTTTGGCCCGGAAATCATCTAGGTACTTTTCATTAGGATGTTTCATCTTAGGAAACACTCCTATTGATTTCTACTGAAATTAGCAGAGGTTATGACAGGTCATAACCACATATTTTTGGCCTTCAAAAGTAGAATTCAAAGGACCAACAATTAGTATCTGATTATCCTCTTGTTGCGTTTCCTGTCTTGCTTAAGACCTTCCCTTAGGGGCCTGGGCCAGAGTAGAAAAAGAAGACCCCGAGCCTATGGGGAAAGAAAATAAGGGCATTTTTTTCCTTCTAAGTATTACAGTGCTGCTTCAGGTTATGCTTCCGATGATGTCACCTTGATAAAGAAAATCAAGTGAGGGTTGGCAGATGTCCTGAAGGCCAAGTCTTGTGGGTAAATGTGGAGTGGGCAGAGGGGGCTGTCTTAGGTGGTCTGAGGAGAGAGGAGCAGAATGAAAACAATTCGATTCTGAGTAAAGAGCCTGAGTCATGGGGGTGGGGGTGGATGTGTTCGACTGCTTGGCCAGAGAAGAGCAGGCTTATTATTTTCCAGGTTCCTCTAATATCGAGCTACAGCAGGAGCACAGCCTGAAAGTAGGAGCCCCTAGTTGCTCAGGTGAAGCCGACACTCATATAGGGAATTGGGAGAAAGAATATTAAGAAGAGTCTGGGTGACTTTTTCTTGGTCATTGACTAGGTGCAGCCTGCTTGGCTGAGCCACCAAGCCCAGTTCTGCCTTCTTGCCCTGCTTTGTGAGGTTTGCTATCTCAAATTCATTCTCTATACACAGCTAGAGTGGGCTGTGTAAGCTGCAGATGTGAGGCTGTCATCTCCCTGCTGAGAGATTAGTAAATGGATTTTAAATTCAACCTGTTCCACCTGGCTTCCCAGGTCCTCCATACCCCACTTCCCTCCTGAATGTCCTCCCCTTCTTTCCTTCCCCTCTTCTTCCTTCCTTCCTTTCCCTCCCTCCCTCCCTTCTTTCTTTCCTTGCTCCAGACATTTTGAAACACTTTGAGTTCCTTGAATGAGAGTGGCCCCCTCTCCCTTGCCTGACACAGCGTGGCACACTTGGAGCACAGTAACATTATACAGTGCATCGTGAAGCATGACGAGGCTGCCTGAAGACCAGTGGTGATCAGAGTGGCCTGGGCCTCCGGCTCACACTGTAACCCATAGGAGGCACACCAGTTGGAGAGCTCCGATCTAATCAAGCGATAGCCCACAGAGAACCTTCTAAACACTCAGTAATATGAACCAACCCTAGGCAAGTTTGGGAACTAGAGGACAGAGGTACCCAAGGGAATAATCTAATATGATAACTTAACTCTCCAAGGGAAGGTCGCGTGACGTAGGGAACGGAAGGCAAAGCCTGGGGTCACTTACCCAGCCACATCCCTGCCATCCCACAGAGACAGCCCCAGGGCAGAGCTGCGAAGGAGGACCAGTGCTCCACCTTGGTGAAGTACAGGATGACGGGCGTGAAGGAGATGAAGATTAAATTGAAGAAACCCAACGTGGAGACAAAGTGTGCCGCTTCGCCGAAGTTGGCACTTCCGAGAAACATCTTAAACATAACCTGGAATGGGAAGGAAACTCTTAAGCCACACTGTCCGAGGTTTGGCTGCATCAGAAAGGCAAGGTCTGCTCGTCTGCCCAGGGAACTGACTGGCCCAGTGTTTATCCTCCACATCTTCTTACCTGCCATCTTCTTATCTCCTTAATTCCTTATCTCAGCAATGACATCTAAGGCGTTATTGAGATAAGGAATGAACATGCTCTATAGCCTTCAGATGAAGCAGCAAAGCCATAAAACAAATTCCTTGTGAGGTTGGAAACTGCTGGGATACTGCACACTGTGTTATGCACACGATCAGTGATGGGAACAGGATGAATAATAAACAAAAGCAGAGAAACCCTGAGAAATCTCGATTGAAATGCCGTCAATTCTTCCCTTCTAGCCTGGGATTCATTTCACTCTCATTTTGACAGATACTGAAAATTATATTGGACAGAGAGAGCCTGTCATTATGTGCTGAGAGAAATAATAACGATGCCTTGGATTTACAAGTACTTTTCTCTCAGAGCTTAAAATATTTTCACAAACACTGTGTTTATTCTCCAGATTAACAATTCTTTTTTTTTCTGGGTTCTAAATCTGTGTACAGAGAAAGATGGGCAGGAGGCATGAGTGGTCAACCTAAAGTCACACATCCGGCTGGGGGGGGCGGGGGCGGCAGGGGAGAGCCAGGACTCTAGTCCATATTTCTTGGCTTTTTAACCCCTCTGCTTCCTTTATTAACCCTCAAACAGTGGAGAACGGAGCAGATCTTTTCTAAGGTGCACATATAATTTTGTGCATGTCAGTCAATATTACCACTCCCTGAATGAAGCCATCTGAAACACGGTTAGGAGAATGCCAGATATTGCTTTTAATTTTAATCGAACTTTTTTCTTTTTTTTTTTTCATTCGAGAGACGAAGTCAAGAGACCTTGATCACGTGCTAGTCTTTAGTCACATCAGACACCTCAGTGGAGTCTCAGTTGGGGGCAGGTTAGACACTAATGGCGATTGAGTGAACACTTGTCAAGTTTGTCACACAGAATCAGTGGGCCAAGAAATGTCAGTATGGAAATAGACTCCGTGTCCTCTGCGCTGCAGGGCTGGTGAATAATCAGAACAGGCATCCAGGAGAGTTGCAAAGGGCATTTTCTGCCTTTCAGAGAGAATTTTCTCACTGACACACCAAGAGAGATGAAAGTGCAATAGTCCTTTAGCTCCATCCAGAAAGTTGGCTCTGAAATGTGGAGCTTCGGGGAATAACCTTTGAGGTCTGCTCTCTTAGTCCTCACTTCTGAAGTTAAGGGCAATGGCTCTGAATAAAAGTTTCATTGATGAAAGGCAGCTCCAGGGGAGAACGAATGGTGAGGACTTAGTGCAGACCCAGAGTATCTTTCAGAGAGGAAAAGAGACTTTTCATTTGGCTAATAACATGAGCTTCTGTGGCACAGAGCTGATATGTAGCAAAAGGTAACCTCTCAAATGACAGTCTGTTTATTATTTTTAACACCTCAATTGGAGTTAAAATAATGGCCACTGGTAGCAATTAAAGAAACATAAAGAGAAGAGAGGTCTTTCTCAGCCCCTACACACCTGGTTGATGATTTGGGAGGGCTGGGGCCATGGCGCAAGGGCTTTGGAGTTAACAGTTCAAGTTTTAATCTTGGCTCTATCATTTCCTGGTTGTATGACCTTGGGCAAGTTACTTAATGTTTCAAAGCCTTAGTTTCCTCATCTGTCATTCAAACAATATTAACACACTAAATGCAAAGAAATAACATTTTTGATGACTCCATATTCCAGACCAAGCAATTGAATAGTTCATGGAAGTTGCTAAATGCATCCTCCAACCCAGTTCCTTCTTTGAAATCGAGGAGAAGCACCTATGTCTCATAAGGGTGCATTAATACAGGTGAAATTTTTCTGGCAAGTGCCCAGCATTAGCAAGTACTCAGTAAGTGGTTTTTATCAGAAAACCATCTTTATTTTTTCTAGTCAAGATTTTCTTTGTCCTTCCTTACTTTATTAAGTCTAAGCTACAAATCACAATAGACTACACACGTACCTTATATAATGCAGATGTGGAGGCTGAGCCCACTGCAAATGCCACTCCTATGATCGAGTCAGCATGGAAATTATCTGCATACGCCATCATGACAATGCCCGTAATTGCCATTATTGTGGCAACTATCTGTCAAATAGAATGCAAATAAATTAAAAAACAACTGATGACTCTATATCCCTGAGCAAGCAATTGAAGACTTTACTGAAAGCTGCTAAATTGCTTTCTGAAACCCAATTACCTGTGTACATCTGTGTTCAATTGTAGAAGGGTCAGTATTAACAAGAAATCGGTATACTCATGAGACATGCAGGCAGAGAATATAAAAGCTGCTCACATTCAAATCAAGGACTAATAATTTTATTGTAATTTTTTAGTTCAACTTCCTAGAGATTTATACCCATATTGGTGAAATAAGGTCAATAGGAAATCAGTTCTATCTAATCTTTTCATCTATACTGTATTCTTTTTCTTCAAATATTTTAGCATACATTTTAATCAGCCCCTTGGATCAATGCATGTTTCTGAATAGCTCCACATGAGGATTTGATTAGGGAGATATATCGATGCAGCTAAGAGGCAACATATAGGGCAAGGGGAAAACAGAAGTGAGTAATTTCATAATCTATATAATAAAGAGCTAATATGCTAATGGTTGTGACGCCCTCACGTGTAACAACTGATCAGCAGGCATGGGTGGGTAGGGACTTGCAGCATTTGGGGCTTGCGTCACACCATCACAATCCATCACCAGGAGGCCTGGGGCCCAGCAGAGGCCTCCACACGGCAAGGCCTGGGGGTCCCTTGGCTCCGTGTGGCAAGGGATGGGGGTCCCGCAGTTCCACTCGGCACAGAGGTGGGATCCCTGGCTCCAGCCTACCTCTTTGGGGCAATCCATCAAGGAGCTCCAGATGGGTGGGTGGGGCCTACCTTTTTGGGGTGATGGATCACAGGTCTCTGCACTGTGACAGGGCACAGGCCAGGCTGGGGGACTTCCCCCCGCCTTTCGTGCACCGGGCCACTAGTCGTTTATAAGGAGCAAGCTTGCACTGTCACTTGGAATATCAAATGGAGGCCGGTTCTTCCTTTTGTTTTCATGTAAATTAAACCACAGAATGATAATTTTATTTAATTATTCTAGAGCAGTGATGGTGAACCTATGACACGCGTGTCAGAGATGACACGCGAACTCATTTTTTTGGTTGATTTTTCTTTGTTAAATGGCATTTAAATATATAAAATAAATATCAAAAATATAAATCTTTGTTTTACTATGGTTTCAAATATCAAAAAATTTCTGTATGTGACATGGCACCAGAGTTAAGTTAGGGTTTTTCAAAATGCTGACACGCCGAGCTCAAAAGGTTCGCCATCACTGTTCTAGAGTGTTAATTGCATAACGTGAAATGTTCATAGTTTGATTGCAGTTATAATGGTTTACTATAAATTGATATGATGCTCGGTATATTTAAAACAGGAGTCCACTCCTTTGTGAAATGCTGGTTTGCACTTGTTTCTTTAATTATCTTGAACTTGAGCAATTCAGGCATTTTAAGGGTAGTCTCACCAACTTTAAAACCAAGATGCAACTTTGTCAGAAATTTAAGCATATGTGACGATTAATTTTGTCAAGCTTCAGTTTTGAGTATTACCAAGTAAATCAATTTCTCTGTAGATAACTTTTTCACATGTGATTAATGTTTGGGGTTTTTTTTTGCCCTTTTGAACATTATTAGTGAATTCTCTATTACAACAAAATGTAGATCTGTAACATATAACTGCAGACTTGCTCAAGGCCAGCACAATGTATGTTAATGATGACACATATAATTTAGATGCTGCTGGAGCAATTCTTTTGTTAATGACCACCAAGAGCAAGTGCACAGTGGGCTTCAGAGCCAGCTCCATACTAAAGCGTCCTTTATGAAAAACAGCAGGAGAACTTGAGAACAGACGCGACGTGTCAGCAGTGAAAAACTGTCTTCATAAAGTGTTATCCGGGAGGCTGCTTGATGGGAGGTGTTTCTCTTGCTGAGTGAATATCATATTCTCTGAAGCTTCCAGGCATGTGTTCTAGTTAGACTATGCCTCAAACTATGGGGAATAGAATTTAATACAGACACCATGAGGTGTCAAGGAAATTTTCTAAACAAGGAGCCATAGACTCATAAGTAAACATGAGGAGGGGGGTATCTAGACCTGGAAATTCTGTGAGGGCTATCATTTTCTTCGTTTTGCGGATTTACAGTTCAGCCAGGGATTTGAGAGGTTTCTCTGGGAAGTCTGATTTCAGAGAATGAAAAGGCTCTTTCGATGCTGGCATCTTCTGATTTGTTTTGTGTTTATATGATGTCCACGAGTTAAAGTGTTCAGGTGCACACATAGATCTCCCCGTAAGACTGAACTTGTAAGATAATAAACTTGAATTGATATTTGCGGGGGTTTTTTGTTTTGTTTTGTTTTTGGCTAAGCATTCGTTGTATTTCTTGGTCAAATAAACAAAACAGGGTTAAAAGAACACAATGTTAATCCCAATGAACTTTAACATCACATGTTGTTTCATATTTAAAATTACTAAAAGTATTCTATCATATATAATTCTGGGTTTAGTGAATTGTGAAAACAACCAGCCCAAACAAACAAACAAAAAGCACAAAACAAAATCACTGTCTAGAAAGGGATGAAAATAATACTGTTATCCCCAGGATCTGGGCCTGGTTGGAAACTATTCTTTTTCTGAGTCATCCATTAGTAAAAATTTATATGCATAATATTACTATTATAAATTTTTTCTCAAGGTAGAAATTAGATATGGACAAAGATTACATAATTTTTAGCAATTCAAAGTTAGAACCATGGTGAGCCTCTTTGAAACCTCCATTACATTTTATATTCAAGTGTTTGTGAAGATATTAGGCTGGGCCACTTAAATTGACATATCAATTACAGCGGTGTCTCTTTCAATTGCCTTCATGGAGAGAAGCATTTTTCACTTCAGGGGGTCAGACAACACTGTTAGTTAAGTTCTAAAACGTGAAAATCTGAATATTTGAGATGTTAGAAAAATTCTTCTCTCTGGTATGAACAGCCATTTATAGATTAATCATTTATAGGTTATATGTATAGGTTTCCTGGGGAGAAAGCTAAGTTAAGTTATTTTCCACATTTTAATTTAAATGCCACAACTATCCGATAGAATAAGTTCTCTATGGCCACGTTTTAAAAATTTTCCTATCTACACAGAAGGGAAGGGATCTCGGCTAATCTAGAAAATGCAGGGGAGTATTGGGTGGAAGTTGCTTTTGGAGCGTCGTTCGGCACTGCTTGGCTCCATGGGTTCAACTCTTCAAACTTCCACAGAACAAATAACACAAGCACAGATCTGCGTCACATGCATTTTCAGAATTGATCAGTCATTACGGAAGGATTAATAGTTTGTTCTCAACAGAAAAACTCAGACGACTCTTCTTGGGCTCAGGACACTGGAAACGTGCCTGCAGGAAGCCAGTGCCTTAAATATTGTGTCAGCAGTGCTCCTATGTGACAACCACACGGTGCAACACAGAAATGCATCCAAGCACTTGAGTGTGCACATGAAGGACTCTTGTGCTAAACTCGCACCACCTGCTGGGGCCACCCCCTTGGCTCCACAGACACTCGGCTCTCACAGCCTATTCCAGTTCCAGCCCATCACCAGCCAGAGGGGTCTAACTAAGACGGAAATCCCACCACTACCATGACCTGAATCTGTTTGGCCTGAGAAGGTTAGTAACTAGTGACCATAAAACTGACAATGCCTCATTCTTAACTTTCTGACCCTCTCGGTCCTCTCACATCATGCTGAGCCCATTATCCCAGCAGGCCACATGAGCAACATCACCTCCAGAGATGGTTACCTTCCTTTGCAGGTTCAACCCGCTCTGAGAGCCTCCGCATCAACTTGCAGGGCCAATTGGAGGGACCATGAGGCTGTTGGAGCCTGTTCCTGAAGCCCAAGAAGGCCAGAAGGCTAACATTTGGTGATTTCACTGTGCTGTAGACCACCCGTGACCCTGCATGAAAGCTAGCTTCTTCCACCTCTTAAAGAATTCATTTGTACAGACAAAGACTAGAGAAACATCTGGCTTTTGGCTGTTTTTGTTTTCTCGTATGGTCTTTCCCCCCCCTCTTTTGGCTCAGGCCCTCAAAAATCGCAAGTGTCTGGCCCTTTTCTGAACCTTCATGAGGATTTCCAGCCTCATTACATTCACTGTGTTTCCCCTTGATAAATGGTTTCCGGAATTATTATTTCCATAACAATATCAGCCCTTCTAGGGTTCAGGGTACTAAAATGAGGCTTTAATTGCTTCTATTTCTATTTGTAACCCCAACATCTTTCCTTAATTTACCTTGTGGTCAACTGTTCCTGAAGCTGGGTGGGGCATGGGGGAGGCCCAAGCTGACAGCAGCCTCTAAAGTGAAAGGCCTCAAAGCTGCCCTGCCAGCAGGGCTGTACTCAAGTTCAAGACTAAAGGTCAGCAGCTAAAGGTGAGATACACATCAATGGCTTGGCCAGTGAGACCTGCTCCAATGATCATCCTATTTTCTCTGATTATATTTAGATAGAGTATTTTCAAGAAACCATGTCTATATGAAATCATATAAATATTTATATTTATATTTAATTAAATGAAATATAAAACATATTTACATGTTACATTTAGGTTCCATGAAAAGAAAAATGAAAGAGGTGGGCAGTCCACTGTGTGTGTGACAGGTGGAAGGTGGATCCCTAGAATTGGTCAGACCCAAGGGGTACAGAACCTACAACCAAGATTCCCAACCCCTACTCTCTGCCACACATACACATCTATTTTTATATGAATGAAATCCTTCTGAAAATGATCTCAATGAGACCAAGATGGAAAGAAGGAAAAGAAATGCCAGAAGGAAAGACTAAAGAGTGTGTGGGGGGTGGGTTGGGGGCGTGTATAGAGTGGATCTATTGACTACACCTTGATGAAGGGGTTATGGATTCCTTCTGGACATAAATCAGAGCCCCCACACTTCCTGTATTCATAAATAATTTTTCCCCCAAGAGGGGGTTGAAAAGGATGAGTCTTACTGTCCATCCTCAACTGCCTCCTTGAGGAACCATCAAGGCTCTGGACAGAGGATTCTGCACTAACCTGAATGAACAGCGACTGCATAAATGTCAACCAAAGACAAGATGGAAACGAAAGGTTATCTTGAATCATATCTAAATGCATGATATTGGCACAAATAAGCAGCAGCTCGGCTCCAGTGTCCTGATTTAGAGCGCTCTGGAGCCCAGTTTTAATTCAGAGAAGTGCAGTTTAAGCAATGAGAGATTCACTCTAACTGACATACTCCAGTTGGTTCTTGGCGCATGTAGGAAAGGCTCCAAAGGAGCCACAGTTTGGGAAGTTAACTGTGTAGGGACCCAATTATAGCTAGAAAATATGTGGGTGCCAAGCTAAAGGGACATGAATTCATCTCCTAAATCTGCTAAAAACAAACAAACCTGGGGTCTGCTGAACCATTTACCACCCATCAGTTTTCTTCATATGTTCAAGGAAATTTTAAAAAATAAAAGAAAAAATCAATTAATAATATGAAAAATAAGGGAAGGGCAAGATCTGAAAGAAAATATTTTAACTTTCTAGTGTGACATTCACTTTTCATTGGAGGGAAATAGATACCAGCGACAGAGAAGAAAAACCAACCCAGTGGCTTGTTTTCTTTAAGGAAAACCTTTTTTTATTAAGGTGGTTTCTCTGCCTCTCATGGATTGAAGAATGCTAGCTCCCCAAGGAAAGATCTGGGAGATGGGAAAACACCCATTTTCACCAAAGCTCAAGAACTGGATTCTCACCAACATCTTTGCAATTAAAAAATGATCTTTTAAAGAAATAGATAAATTCCCATGGGATGATCATATATCAGCAGTAAGCAACTATTTATGAGTTTCCTAACACACCAGAGTTTACCAGAAAATTGGTTGAAATGATTTTATAACAGAAAACTAAATGTATAACAGATTACCTTTCTATCTATAAGTCAATCAATAGTCCAAAGAAACAAACTAGTAAATTATTTATAATACAAAATTAGTTTCTATGTGAGCATTGATAATTCTGGCCAACCGTTGCTCCAGGTAAAGCCATCTTTACTGATATTATAACTTAAGGCATCCTTCATTCTGTTCACGGTGTTATTTGACATAAAAAACAGGCCATATATTTCATCTTAAATGTAATCATTCTTGGGGTCAAGCAAATGGAATTATAATCCAAAAATGATTTGTTCCTAAACTACGGAAGCCTCAAGAATCAGTCAGAAATATTAATTTTAATCTGATGAGCCTTTAACTACTTAGAAAAAGAGAAGTCCTAGTGAGGTGGCACTTATAGGCTGTGCTTAGATTATTTATGGACGGGGCCAATAAAAGCTGTGTTTACGCTGTCAGTATTCTGTTTGCCCTCCTTTAATTTCTCAAATGACCTAATTATGCATGTTCTCAATATGTCTTAGGGGGAAAAGAATTGCTGAGATTGTCAAAAGGCAAAATGCTGAATGCGTTCTGGTGCTTCTCCTATTCCCTGGCCTGATTCTGGGCATCATTAAAATTACACCTTGACAATCTTCTGAAACATGGCTTACACCCTTCTCAATGCTTCACGGTGAGAGGAGAAGCATTTCCTGTCACTTAACAAGAAAAGTATCTGACTTCTACCAGCGTGCCTGACACTAATGCTTACCATTTTGCCATCTATGATGTCTTACTTTGTGTATATATTTATAACAATTACTTATGGACTCTCAACATTTTTTCTATTAGGTCTTATTACTTACAGATGCTGTTTAGTTTCCTGAGGCTACTGTAACAAATTACCACAAATTTGGTGACTAAAACCAACAGAAATGTATTCTTTGCCAGTTCTGGAGGTCAGAAGTTTAAATCCAGCAGAGCTATGCTCCCAGGGGTACCTCTAGGAGAGAATACATTCCTTGCCTCTTCCAGGTTCTGGTGGCTGCCCCAGTTTTCCTGGGCTTGTGGCCACATCACTCCAAAATCTGTCTCTGTGCTCACATTGTCTCTTCCTCTTCTGTGTGTCTCTTCCGTGTGTGTCTCTTATAAGGATACTTGTTGGACTTAGGGGCCACTCAGATCATCCGGGATAATCTCCTCTTTGCAAGATCCTTATTTATGTCGGCAAAGACCATTTTCCCAAATCAGGTCATATTCACAGGTTCTTGGGATTAGGACATGGAGCCCTTATTGGGCACCACCATTCAACCCACTACAGATACCAATTTTAAAATGGCAATGCTTTGTAGCCTCTAGGCCAGTGGTTCTCAACTTCCTAGTGTCGCGACCTTTTAATACAGTTCCTCATGTTGAGGTGACCCCCAACCATAAAATTATTTTCGTGGCTACTTCATCACTGTAATTTTGCTACTGTTATGAATCGTAATGTAAATATCTGATATGCAGGATGTATTTTCATTGTTCGCGACCCACAGGTTGAGAACCACTGCAGGCAGATTTACCAAATCTGTGATTTAAATGTTACACAGCTGAGATTTTTTTTTTCTTAAAAGACCTCAAATAAACATTGACCCTCCTGGTGCATTGAACTTGCATCAGGAAGTTCCATAGTTAGATGCATTCATTCACTCTAATGCAATTGGTTTTCTCACTGGTCAATCTAATAGTCAATGTATTGACTTCCTTTTGGTATTCAGATGCTACTCTATTTCGCCCTCTTCTGACAAATTCTCATGGTTAATCCATGATGGAAGTAGAAAAGAGAAAGATTTAATAAACGTGAGTTCATTTACTATATCTTCAAATATCTTTTGAGCCCTTACTTTGTCCCCTGCACAGGGCATGTGACCTGTGCAGATGCATAGAGCCCCATGATTAGAAGGGTCCCATTCCTGGTTTAATGGTCTGCTTGGTTTAATGTTTTAATCTTGAAATTATTCATACTTTTTAACAGGGGACCCTGCATTTTATTCCGCCCTGGGCCCCACAAACCATGTAGCTCCTCCTGAATGGAGCAGTGAGCAATATAGGGAAGGTCCCTGCTCTCGAGGACTTGTCAGGGTACCTGATGGTGAACAGCCAGCACCAGTGCTCCACGTATAAAGCATGAAGCTTCCCTTTGGTGTCACATCTAAGATTAGCTGGCAGAATGTGTGGGTATATTCTAATGGCATCATGGGCTGATTCAGTTTCTCATCTTGTCTTCTGCCATAGCTTCCTACTTCTTGTTCATGTCAATCTTTACTGAATTTCTGAGCAGCATCTCCAACGATACAACCAGAATTTGCTGATTGGCTATCTTTAAAAAGCTTTCAGGGTTATGGCGATCATAAGCTTTCTAATATAGACAGTAACTTCAGTATTCCAGGGCCCTGGAATCATTGCAACAAGAATAACATTTTGATTACAATCATGGACATCTCTTTCAGAGAACAATAATTACGTGATGTTTATCTTCTAGGAAAAGGCTATTCATTTACACCTCTTTCTAAAGAATTATTTCCTCAATATTTCCATCATGGTGGCATGCTAGATTATATAAATGAGATCTGACTCATTTGCATGTCTTTCAATCAATCATTAATATAGACTAAGCATACAAAAACAGTTTTTTAAAATCCATGTTACTTTTGAAAGGAATAAACTCTGAATTGAAGTGGTTGGTTGAAGTTTAATGCAATTCAGTTAATTTGTACCAAGAAGTACAAGTTGTTGCTTTTAGTTCCATTTTTAGACTAGTCACACAGATACATGGCCACTTTTAACAGCACTGTGCCATCACCAGTGACTTTAAGTACTGTTTGTTTATCTTGTCTACTTACACTAATATTAATTAACTCCATCTCTGGGGGAGAGAAACATGAGGGAGTTATCCCAACATATGCTGATTGAAAAAAAAAAAACAACACACCAAATCATAATCTTTACTGTGGCTAATTTGCTCAGACCTTCTTTCCTGAGGACAGAAGGAGTTGATCACACCCTTAATTCTTAAAAAAAAAAGAGAACCTATTTTGCATATTTTAGTGCCTCCTGTTGAAATCAGCTGACTGCCCAATGGAAATCTCTTTATCCTTTCATGATGTTGCAACTGCCTTGGCATCCTAACCCATCTTCAAATCCCGTTTTGTACTCGGAACTAATAGGAAAGTTTTACAGAAACTCCATGAAACAAAGCAGCTCTCCTGATGCCAGGATTTACGACCAAGGGCAGCCTTGCCCATTGAATCAAATGTGCCATTACCCTCACTCCCATGAACCTGTCTTTCAGCACGATCCACGACAGCAAGAAGACAAAGGCTTTGTTACAACAGAACAGAGCGGAGACATCCGTGGCTGTCAGCTTCTTTAAAGCCAGTAAGTACAGGTAGTTCGTCAAAGTCCACAGAATAGAAAAGGGAGCAGTCCTTTTAAGAAAGAGCTTCAATGTCAGACCATCTTCCCCAAAAATCCGACTGCATTCCCTAGGAAAGAAAAAGAGGTGAATAGTCAGGTACTATTTGTGACATCTTGTGTTGATACCCATTTCCAGGCAAGAGCACAGAACATTCAGGACTCATTGGTCATCTGTGGAACATACTGAACCCAGTCCTGCCACCTACAGGCCACAAGGGTTCCACGCAAAAGAGCCTGCATCTCCCAGGCACAGAGCTAGGCCTCTCCTATCTAGATATGTGCTTGAGACTACTGGGCAGCCATTCTGCTGTTGCCCAACAATCTCAGGGAAGCCCAGAGAAATAGAGAAATGTGTGGTTTCTGGGATTATTAGCTATTGAAAAAGAGAAGATTCTTTCCCAAGGGGAGAATGTGGCAGGACCCAGATGGCTGCTACTGCGTGAACAGGCTGCAACTCTCAGCCTCACACATGGCTTGGGATTCTACTATTTCTAAGACACAATGCCTCTTTCTAATATATCTGCCCAATTGGCTAATTTCTTTTTTTCTCCAGCATTTTAAACCAGAAAAAAACAAAAAACAAAAAAACAAAGAAAGTAAAAACAAAACTCAACTCAACTTTGCTATATACAAACATTTGGCTATTTTGGAGGAATCATCTGGATTCATTGTACAAAAACAGTCACTTTGGTTAAAACTTTGATTTGTTTGATTTCTGACTAAATTGATTATTTAGCACAAGGGTCTATTTTAATAAGAGTGTTTAAGCCAGTGATACAGACAGGCAGTAATGGAAGTGATAGAATAACTGCTTATTTGACTATACACTGAAAACAGGCTTGCCACTGGGAGAATTCGGCTTTTTTTTTTCTCTCAGTTTTTCATTCAGACATGTATTGGGCAACTATCACATGCCAGGCATTGTATTTTCAAGAGTAATATAAGTGTCTTGTTCAAAGCAACAGGTTACTAACATTTATAATGAAATATATTTACATGGTTCCAGAAGGTACTAGTACTAGTTTTTCTTCTAGCATTTTCTGAAGAGAAATAATTGTGCCTCAAAGTATTGCAAACCAAAGTAATCCTTACCCATGTTAGTCTCATATGAATGAAGCAGGAGGACCTCATGGTGGGGGAAGTGACAACATGGCGAGGCTCTAAGCACAGCGGTGTGGCCTTCAACATAAGTCTCATAGAGAATATTGCTGAGAATGGTGGGAATTGCAAACTAGAGATCCCAGGAAGGTTAAAAATGCAATTTGCACACATAGGAACTGTGTAGTTTCATGAGGGAGATCACCAAAGAGAAGAATTTTCATAAAACGAAAACACGATTCTCCAAAGGTAAACTTTGAAAGACACAAAACTTTAGTGAAGGGACTAAGTAACCCAAAGGCAAAGCCTTTGTAAAGGAAACACAAATGACATGTGCTCACACACACGGGAAAATAGATGGCCACTTTCAAACCCTACAACCATGGAGACACATAGAACAAGCAGCCGTTCCCACAGAACATCCTGGGCACACGGGTTGTATTCTGTATTTTCAAGGGATGTGCTCCCGGAGAGTCTGCCAGGGAGAGCTAGAGTTGAGAGTTGTAGGTTAGTCCTAACATCTACAACTACTAAATGCCTTCAATATACACATTTATGGAGAACCACAACAAACCCATTTCTGATTAAAGAATGTCTTTTCTTATCACTGGCCCTAGCCAGTGATGGTTCCTCCTTCCCAGAGCCCACCACCAGGCTGGGTTGAGTGCCCTCGAGCAAAGACTTTGTATACACGCAAGCGAATGTTAGAACCCTAGGGGGAAGACCAACAGAAGCACATGGACAGGGAGAGCCCCTCCCCTACTATGCAGAGCCCCCCCACCCCCAAGCAAAGCACTGCTGTGGGAGGGCCCCCACCCTTGTTCTTTTCACCTGGCTCACCCTGTCCCCCAGCTATTGACTACCTAATCATTCCACTCTTTTTCCCTTTTTCTCTCACTGCCAACCTTCTCTTCATTTGTCACTGCTGTTGCAGGAATAAAAAATGCTCTCCATTCAAACACCAGGTCACCCGTGTAGAACCTTCTGCTATTTAAGCATTAAGGTGCTAAGAAACGCAAAGACTATGCAAATCAAAACGACAATGAGGTACCATCTCAAACCTGTCAGAATGGCTATCATCAACAAATCTACAAATGACAAGTGCTGGCGAGGATGCGGAGAAAAAGGAACCCTCATGCACTGCTGGTGGGAATGCAGACTGGTGCAGCCACTGTGGAGAACAGTATGGAGTTTCCTCAAAAAACTAAAAATGGAACTTCCATTTGACCCAGTGATCCCACTTCTAGGAATATATCCCAAGAAACCAGAAACACCAATCAGAAAGGATATATGCATCCCTATGTTCATAGCAGCACAATTTACAATAGCTAAGATTTGGAATGAGCCTAAGTGCCCATCAGCAGATGAGTGGATTAAAAAACTTTGGCACATCTACACAATGGAATACTATGCCACTGTAAAAAGGAAAGAACTCCTAACATTTGCAACAGCATGGATGGAGCTGGAGAGCATTATGCTAAGTGAAATAAGTCAGTCAGAGAAAGATAAATATCACACGCTCTCACTCACTTGTGGATTATAATGAACAACATAAACCAATGAACAAAAACAGATGCAGAGACAGAGAAGCATCGATCAGATGCTCAAAACTCAGAGGGAAGGTAGGGGAGGGTGAGGGTGAGGGGGAGAGATCAACCAAAGGACTTGTATGCATGCATATAAGTATAAGCGATGGATGTGGACAACAGGGGGTGAGGGTGAGGGCAGGATTGGGGGATGAGAGGACACTGGGGGGATAAGGGCATATTTGTAATATCTTAATCAATAAAGGGAAAATAATTTTTTTAAAAAAGAATCTATTTCTGTGGAGAAGCAAATAAAGTGCGTCTCTCCTTGGGATGACGGGATCAGAATTTCTAGACAAGCGGCATTGAGAGGGGGAGAAACTTGGACTGAAGCTTAGAACTTGGGGCACTGATAATTTAATCACAGCCGTCATCCTTACAGCATCTGCTAGTTACTGACCCTTTTCTGATGTCATTTCATCGGTGCCTGACATAGACAAATAGATCTTTCCCTCTAGAGACATTCTTCCTGAAGAAAACACTCGTGTCCAAACTACAGTATATTGTGTTTTCTTTTTCTTCTTAAATTTCAAATTCACCTGAGGCGACTGAATTCTCTTGATAGTATATAAATGGAACGATGGAAATATCAAAAACAACTTCCAAATGGACAGCTGTTACCATCTAGATTTGATCCTTGATTAAAATGTCTTTCCATGTTAGTGATAAGAAAAAAAACTGGGAATGCTTTCATGCTATTCAAGAGAAAAGAAGAAACTAGTGAGAGGGTCTGGTGCCATGGGACAAATTCTGTTCCTGGTCTTACACACTAATTTCATTTTCCCCTTCTTCTGCCCAGTTATCTTCTTGGCCGGTGGTGTTGATGGGTCTACAGGGGAAACGAGATCAAGGATCTCAGTGTTTTCTGCTAGCATTTGCTTCTCATCTGGAGGTAGGCCCTGGGGAATATTCCCTTCCAAGACGATTTCCCTGCTGGACAACAGAAGCTCTTTGGTTCGGTTTTAGAAAGGGTCAGCTTCACTCTCTAAACTCAGAGTTAGTCCTACATGAGAGATGTGGTGAAGATGAAGCTTATTGCCAAAATACCTCTGTCAGCAGCGGCCTCTTGGAAATGGGTTATGTTAAATGAAACCCACTTGACTTGCTCTGAGGTCTTCTGAGGTCCTACTTCACCTCCTACACTTTTGCTGTTTGTATCAGCATGTGTGTCTAAACCACAGGAGCATTCCAGTAGCCACGCCCGCCATGGGTGCACACAATATTTTCAAATAAGGACAATTTTAGTCTGATAATCACGCTCTCTGTGATCATTTATTAAATAGTATTATTAAAAAGTACCTTGTGCCCCAAGATCATACCTATTTTGATGGGTATCAAATACAAAATATCTTTAGCAATCACAAATAGATATAAAGCTTTTATTTTTCCTCCGAACCAGAACATATTTATTTTTAAATTGTTCTTTTTCATTTATTATAATTGAATTTTCATGGACACACATGGGAAATGAGCTCACAGTGTGACTTTAACATTCTCAGGCAACTCCAAGCTGGTGATAGAAAATAGAAGTTGAAGATATACCCTTTCTAGTTTGTGAAGTTTTTAAGAATAGCCTTATAATCACCAATTATAATAGTCATTCCTTCTTTTCTTTAGGGATCGGGGCAAGAAGGAAAGGTTCTTTTGGCTCCTTCAAGGCAAACTGATGGTCATTTGGCCGAGGAGCAACAAGCTGGTGTAGAGAACTGTCCCTTTCCCACTGCCATCCACGGGGGGTCTGACTGCTGCTTCCCTCGGTGCTCAGAAGTTATTCCTTAGGTCTGGGCTTTTCCTTTCCGAGAAGCTGCCCCTTAGCAGAGGAATTTTGAATTTTGACCCAAAAGCTGCTTTTGCCTTGCTTGAGTGCTGTGCAGGGCTGGACGACAGGGGCCCTGAGCTCCAAGGTGTGGCTGTAGAAGCCAGGGTGAGCACAGAGAAACTGCTAGAACCATGGCACTATCAAGTTCATGGCTTGCAAACCAACAGACATGTGCTCCTAGCCAGCAAAGAATGGCATCTTTCAAAGTATTCCAGGGCCAAACTTCCCTTTGCAGGGAATCAGGTCATTTCATTGGCTTAGGCGCCACAGTGTCCAGAACATTGAGCAAATGTTTTTGTAACAATTCAATTATTAATATAGTTTTTTGTTCTGGGATGGAGACACTGGGTGTTCTTTTAAAACATGACTTTCAAAGATAAATAGGTCTGGATAGAAATCTGAGTTCCTCTATTCATAAGTGTGTGACCTTGAACAAGTCATTTAACCTTTCTGTAAAAGGTGGATGTTATCACCAATGATGATTAAATAAGGCAAGATATGCAAAGCTCCAGTACAGTGCCTAGCATGTTGTAGACACACAATGGTTTTTTGTTTTTGTTTGTTTGTTTGGTTGTTTGGTTTGGTTTTTTTTTTAGGGGAGGAATTATCCTGTTTCCTAGTGTTCATTACCGACCTTAGATCCTGTATCTCCATACTCCCCAAGTCAACTCAGCTCATATTCCAAAGAGATGAAAACATACATATTTGCATGAATATATTTTAGAACACCTCCTATTGGCCATTTAACAAAACCTACCTGAATTTTTTCATTGGCGATTGCTTTACTTGAGCAGTGGCTAGATGACCGGAATAATAGACTGGGAAAAACATAATGTTCCAGTTTGTTGAGAACCAAGTCATGAAAAATGGGCAGTAGAAGTTCTTATAAGTAATTTTTACAATCTGTGTGGTTCCAACCCAAGACGATGACACTGACAAGATGATCAAGAGTCCCCAGACAGCCTTCAGAACCACGGATGAGCAGGACAGGCAGCGAGCCTTGATTCTGTTTTCTTGGCTGCTATTCTCAGGATTAGTCTGTGTTCCATCATCCCCTGAAAACAGGAAAGGAATACAAATGTGTGGGAATGGAGTTATGAAACAGCAATCAAAGAGGCAGGCAGCAGAATCACCAGTGGTTCATCATTTGAAGAGACTTATAACTCTGGCTCATGCTCTCTCTAGAATCTCTGTCTGTAAGGTACAGTATGTATTTGGTCTTCCATCCAGGCCATGACAATGTTCATGAACGTGGTGGATGCTGTGCTGTTTTCCAGGGCACTCTACCCACTTCCTTGTAAAAGCATTACACATTTCAGCCCCAAAGACTTTGGTCTTGGCCACACGACCTGCTTTGTCTAATCAAACATGGGCAGTGTAACACCTCCCAGAAGAGCTTTTTAAGAGGCATCACAAGGTCCCACCAGCTCTTTTGCGAGTCCTCTCTGTCTCCGGAATGGCAAGTACCAAAGAGTTGCTGCTCTTTTGTTCTATGTGGCAGAACAAGCAGAACCCACCCAAAGCAGCCTTGTATCTGCTGATGAGAAAAGTGAATGAGAAATAAGTATTCGTGGTTATATTCCACTGAATTTTTTTAAAAAACTGCAGCAAAGATTACTATTAAATTGGAAAACAATGTGCCCCCAAAATAGAGGAAGTCCTGACTACACAAAATCATTCCCCACCTCAGGACAAATTACTATTTAATGTAGTCCTGGGAGCACAGTGAGTTCTATTTTGTTTTTTACATTTACTAAAAATATTTAGTAGCTTTTTTTTCATACTAAAATAGTCAAAGCACCTGAAAGTGACAATCCTAAAGGCCTTCTGCCATGATAGGGGAAACAAGTTCAACAATAAGTGTATGTACCTGTCAGGAAGTTAAGTGAGAGAAAAGGTCCCCCTGAGTCCCAGTGTTGAGATCTCAGGTGGTAGAATCCTGGGGGAAGGGAGGCAGAATTATCTGCAAGATTCTCTTGTGTCTGCAGGTACCTCCCTGAAGCACAATGTTTATCCTGGTAAAGAGTGTGGTCCAGGAATGCAGACTGGTGCAGCCACTATGGAAGACAGTATGGAGTTTCCTCAAAAAACTGGAAATGGAACTCCCATTTGACCCTGTGATCTCACTTCTAGGAATATATCCCAAGAAACCAGAAACACCAATCAGAAAGGATATGTGCACCCATATGTTCATAGCAGCACAATTCACCATAGCTAAGATCTGGAAACAGCCTAAGTGCCCATCAGTAGATGAATGGATTAGAAAACTGTGGTACATCTACACAATGGAATACTATGCTGCTGTAAAAAAGAAGGAACTCTTACCATTTGCAACAGCATGGATGGAACTGGAGAGCATTATGCTAAGTGAAATAAGCCAGTCAATGAAGGAAAAATACCACATGATCTCACTCATTCATGGATAATAAAGACCATTACAAACTTTTGAACAATAATAGATACAGAGGCAGAGCTGCCTCAAACTGATTGTCAAACTGCAGTGGGAAGGCCAGGGAGGGTTGGGGGGCAGGAGGGAGGCGGGGTAAGAGATCAACCGAAGGACTTGTATGCATGCATATAAGCATAACTAATGGACATAAGACACTGGGGGGTAAGGGAGGCCAGGGGATTGTCAAGGGCAGGGGGGGGGAAAGAAAGGACACATATGTAATACCCTTTGTAATACTTTTAGCAATAAAAAAAAAAAAAAAGAGTGCGGTCCAGTCCACAGATTGCAGGTAGATGGGTTTCTCGCTTTATATCTCTAGAATCTGCTGGCTCTCCTGCTGAATGCATTCCTATGGCTTAATAAGCCAGGTGTGAATACCCCACTGGGATAAAGCTTTCCACCCAGCTAAGGCCTCCTGATATAATTATTTGGAGAGCAGGGGTTCACAAGTATGGAAAGTGAATTCTTCATTGGGGATTATAAACCAAGTAAGGATGAACAGTTACTACACGACTTCCAAGTCCTACAAACAGTACTGAGTTTCTTGCATCTAGGTCTCCAGAGGATGAAAACCAAATCCTGTGGAGGCTATCAGAAGCTAGTTAGCTAGCTGGGTCCCAGGGGTTCAAAGATGAAAGACTTGAGTTCATGGCCTGGTGGAAAGCCAGAAAGCACATCTCAGACAGTGTGATAAGGGTCAACTTTGGCAGATACAAGGCCATACAGAGACAGTGGACAAGCACTTATTACGGGGTGGTGTGGGAGATGATCAGGAGAAACTTTCATGATGCAATGACATTAAGCTGAGTCTGGAAGTATGAGTTAGCTAGCTCCCTTGACTGTGGACAGTGAATAGCTTCTCTTGAAAACAGTTGTGCAAATTCCCTCTATGATCATGTGGCTTATGCAGAAAGTGGAGGGGGAAAACTTAGAATTAATAAGAGGGCAGAATAAGAGACTCTTATGTTGGGAGGCTGGGAAGGGAACACAAACCTACCCAATTAAGTAGGTATCATCATTCCCATTTTATAGATAAAAAACCTGAGACTTGGCTGAAGATTATCCATGGCTAACTCCAAGTCAGTATGACCTCAGGGTCCAACCTTTTTAGTCTGAATATTCATTCTGTCTGGGATTCAGGCTTGAGCACTCTGTTCAAGCACTGGAAGTTTCAGAAATGGGTGGGAGGAATGACAATCTTGCATGAGGTTTAAGAGAAGTGACACTTAAGGGATCGCATTTCAGGTCACATTTTTCTCAGGGACTATCTCATAAAGGAGAAATGATTCTACAGAGATTTTAAGGATCCCTTTGAGCTGACATCTGCCTTCATAAAGATGGCTCTGCACTACCATCATACCACGGACAGGACTTCTGATGACATCAATAGTCACCTAAATCCTCCCACAGTGTTGGCCCATTCTTCTGCTAACTACATTTAGTTGTTGCTAATTCTTTAATTTTACCCTCTATAGGTACTATAGGAAGATTGAGTCTCCAGAATTCATTTATTTTTCTATTTTAAACATGATTTTTACATAATTCTGCTTAGATTTATAGTTTTGCATATATCCTTGAGATTGATTTACCAGGAACTCCATCCATTTTTATGAACTTTGATTGGAGCCATATAAATTGATGGTAGAGGCCATTGGAATTTGGAAACACACATGTAAGTCCCAGCCTTGCCATTGTATGGCCCTGCATGTATGTTTCATTCCAGTCTTGGTTTCTTTATCTGTCAAACAGCGATAATATCTATATTATGGGATTCATTTCATGTAACGTTCATGAAAGCCTGGTGAGCTGCTCTTCAAATTATTCTTTTCTCTTTTTTCTTTGGTGCCCTGAAATATCCCAAATGCCTTCTGAACATTACAGAAAGAGTAAATTATGTCCCATATGATCTTTAATGGTAGAGTGTTTGAAATTTATAATGTGTATGTGATAGACAGGGCAAGTCTTTATTAACCAGCATAGTTAATTAACTAGAACATTCTGTTCTGCAGATGACTGGAATAATAAGAATATTACTGCAATGTATTAAAGCCAATTAAAAATTTCTGAAGATTTAAGATGCCGTTTTTTTTTCACTTTTTAAAAAAATTTGAGTCTTGGAGTTCATATCATTTAAAAATATTGTCATTTCTGAAAAATATCTTTGCTTATATAAAGAAACCTCTTCTCAAATTAGTAGGACCCTAGAAGGGGCTTTCAGGCCTCCTCTATACCTTGGTTTATCTCACCCTACCTGTGTTCCCTGAGTTGTCATTTCTCTTTATTTTTAAAGCCAGTTTTCTCAAAGTTCTGGAGTTTTTTTGTTTTGTTTTGTTTTGACTAGCCAATTATTTTTCTGTTTTTGCTATTGTTACTGTTTTTAAGTCTGCAGGACTTTTTAATATGTTGCTGGCCAAGCTGAGGGAACAAATGGAAGAGAAATTGAAAAATGCCAGTGGAAGAGATGGAGAGGTGACCCTGGATACAGGAAAAGGAGTTAACAGCAGAATGGTAGAAACATATAAGTCAAAGGTGGTCCCACATTGACAGCAGTAGGCAACAAGAGAACAGATGTTTTGAGGCAGAGAGGAAAGCATCGGATAGCACTCAATTCTTTTGCTCTTTTGGGGAAGGTAGGGTGTGGTCATATGATGAGAAGAAGTGAGTATGGACTCGGGGATTGAGAACATTCTCTGGGGACAACATAAAGATGACCAACATAAAAAACCAGTATTGGGAGTAGTCTAGCAGAGTTGGCTATGTTAAAAATGATAAATTTGTTAGGAAACTCGTGGATATAGTTATATATTTATCTAGCAATTCAAGTAGCCCAGGAGTTGGTAAGTGGTCATGCAGATGAGAGGAACGGCTAAAGGTCTTGACTGATCAGCAAATGCTGATTAGGGAGGCAAGTGACAAGTGTCCTGAAGGAAGTGTAAAACTGGGGAAACTACAGGTGCTCCAAGGACTGGCAAGAGCAGAGTCTGATTTTACTGATGTTTCTATTCTTTCCAGACTGGGCACACTGTGCTGTTAGTAACACCAGGGCTGCGATAAAGGATGCTGGCTTTTGACACTTTGAAGATGAGAAAAACCAGTTACCTTATAAACACCATTAGATGTCATTGTTGAACCATGTTAAACTCTTCAACAATAGGTTTTGATATTCAGTTTCTCTGCTACATTGTGCACACTAAGAGGTTGTACAAATCATACTCCTTGACTTACGATGGGGTTACATCCCAATAAACCCATTGAAAATATCGTAAGTCTAAAATGCATTTAATACTACACTGTAGGGTGTAGCTTGTTTACCCTCAGGATTGCATGGCTGACTGGAAGCTGTGGTTACTGCCGCTGTCCAACATCAGGAAAGAGTATCGTACCACATATCACTAGCCCAGAAAAGATCAAGATTCAAAATTCAAAATGCAGTTTCTACTGAATGCACATTGCTTTCACATGATCTTAAAGTCAAAAAATCCTAAGCCAAACCATCCTAAGTTGTGGACTGACCCTATCTATACATTTCCCTCTTCCATCTCCTCTTGCTTGATAAACCTTCCCCTCACCACTCCTAAACGCCCAGGTAACGTCTCTCTTCTGTGACAATGGTGAGATCTTTGACGGCTGGTTAGAAGGTTCCTTGGATGTACTGTTATTAAGAGGTCAGCACCATACCTGATTTGTTCTGCCTTTCGACTCTGTGTCCACAAACTCCAGAGGATCCTCGGCTCTGAAGTTCAAGAATCGGAGCAGAAGAATCTTCGGTGACAGACAGAGGGGACAGCTGTCTACTGATGCCGCTGTGTGAACTGGGGCAGTTGGCTCCTGGTTTACATCGAGGGACTGATGATCTGGAGGTACCTGGGAAGAAAGGGTTCACACCAGTTTCAGAACTTCCTGGAGGAAAAAAATTGGAAACAGACTTAAAATGCCTTGGCAGTGAAATACATGGCAGCCACAATCACAGCCCATATGGAACACGCATTGAGCTCGTTTCTAATTTTATAAAAGGGACTCCTAAAAAGAAAATGCTACATTGATGAGGGTCTTTTGAGATAAATCCACTAACTAGAAATGAACATTAGAATATGGTGTTTGGGTTGATACATCTGTTCTGAATCGGAACTGTTAACACTATCTAATCGTTTGCCTCAAGGAAAGGGAAGTGTTATGTTATGCTGCTGACTTCCTCCTTTCCTTCCCAAGGCTGCCTGTTCCATTCCTAACTGGTAAAGCTGCCAACAGTGTCTCCTATCAAATCCACAATGCACTTTCCATCAGATTAATCACTAACATCCAATTTCGTTGTCTCCTCAGTCACCTCTGGCCTCTGTCCACTGTTACAGACAAAACTCAGCCTTCAGCATCCTCCACAGGCTAAGCCCCTTCCGATCCCGATTAATCTCCCACGAATCCCCAACTCAGGTCGGCTTCATGTGCCTGCATCCATGTAGTCACACAGGGCTCTGTGCTCAAAAGGAGCCCCACCACCACCACCACCACCACCACCATCACCACACATATCCAGGGGTGGTGACATATAGTTGCCACTTGGAAATTCTTAATACTTTTATCTCTTAAACTGTCTTTTGTAAGTGACTTCTGACGGGATAATGGAGCATAGGCAGGGGCTCGGAGCCTCAGTTCATGCATGCTCCTGTTGTCTCCCTACCTGCTGGGGTGGGTTCACCTTTGGCCCTGCCTGGCAATCTCACAGAACCCTGGGAACTGGAATGCAGAGTGCTGGGGTTCCAGGGTGGGGCCTGCACTCACCCAGAAAATATCCGGTGTCCAAGGGAGCAGATATCAAATAGCAAAAAATGCCAGGGTATGGTATGAGAGATACCCCTCACCACACACACACACACACACACTCACACACACACGGAGACTTACAGAGAAAAAGAGAGAGAGAAAGAAAACAGCCATATTTTCTGCTTTTTGTCCAAGGGGCCCTACCTTTTCATTTTGCCCTGGGACCTCAATTTACATGGCCAGCCCTACCCCAACCGGAATACTCCATTTCAGTGAAGCTGGTCTGGCTGTGCTCTGACCCTTTACTCTCAGTGCTGACAGCTCCAAGCCTTTCCACGGCGGTTCCTCTATCGGGAACACTCCAAAGCTAGCCCAATGCTAAAATCCTTGACCAGGTTCTGATTGGTTCATGCACTGTTCGCCGGTAGATCATATGCACCTACACTTTCTTTGAACTTGTGTCATCTGAGCTCACTGACGGCCCCCTGCAGTCGCTGCCCCAATGCTTCCCTTTCTCCTGTGTGATGCTCTGACTCTCCATCTGCGTAAGCTGCCTGATGTCAGAGACTGTGTTCTTCTCTCTCTTTAAGTAAATTTTTAAGTGTGGAATCATTGTATATTTACAAAAGAAGTCAAAAGGTAGTTCAGAGTTCCCATGTGCCCTCCATCCAGTTTCCTTTAGCGCTAATATTTTACATACCCCTGGGGCATTTGTCAAAATGAAGGTATTAACATTGGCAATTACTACCAACCGCACTGCAAACTTCCTCTGGATTACACTAGTTGTGTCAGTAATGACCTTCCTCTATTCCAGGATCCCATCCAGGACACCACATTACATTTAGTCATCATGTCTCCTTAGCCGCCCACTGTCTATGACAGTACTTCAGTCTGTCCTTGTCTCTCATTACCGTGACAGTTTTGAGAAGTGCTGGGGAAGTATTTTGTAGGACGTCCCTCAAATTGGGGTTTATCAGATGTCTTTTCTCATGGTTATGTTGGGGCTATGTGTTTTGGGGAAAAGCACAACAGAGGTGAAGTGTCCTTATCATGTGATATCAGTCATTGTATGCTACCAGTGTGACTTATTACTGGTGATGTTAGCCTTGACCACCTGGCCAAAGCAGTGTTGGCTGGTTCCCCCCTGTCTTTCTCCCCTTTTCATACTTTGTTCTTTGGAAGCAGGTAACTACGTCCACCCCACACTTGGTGTGGGGAATGGGGACGTGTTGAGGGAGAGTGTCTGCACATATTATTTGGAATTCTTGTGAAGAGAAGATGTTTCTCTTTTATTCCCTTTATTCAATCATTTATCTATTTCTGTGTGGATTCAGGTATATTTATTTTCTACTTTGAGTTGTGATCAAAACTGGATTGTTTATTCTTTTGCTCAAGTTATTTCATCTTTCACCATTGGGAGATTGACTTCTGAGTTCCTTTGATGTATTCCCATTCTTTTTGTTTTTGGAGCTTTTCCTTACTTTCTGCCATTACAAGATGCTCTGGATTCATCTTTTATTTTCCCTGCCCACTCCTAGAATCAGTCATCTCTCCCAGACCCCTATTTCCTCTCATTGGAGAATGGTATTTAGAAACCAACAACTGGCCGTGTGTTTACTGTTAGTGGGACACCCCTGAAAATAGGTCTTCTTAGTAGGTCAGAGCTAGGAAATATGTGTATACATATAAACCCATGTATATACATACATCTATAATTATTCTTGTTATCTATATATCCTATAATTTTTATAATAAATTATAAAGACCAGATAAAATATTCTATACACAGCATGACCTCATAAAATACCTTCTGTGAAGCAACTGGGATCATTAGAAACAGAGTATCAGAATCAACTTGGACACTGATGGACATCAGCTCCAAGACAGGTAGCCTGCTCTGACCACTCCCTGGGGCATCTGTGTTTGTTCTTCCTTCTAAGTTGGGAGCTTCTTTATAGTCTTGCTGATACAAGGTGGAGAACAGAGGCTATCACTTTCGCTGGGTTATGGGGGCAATGTCTTGCTCTGGTGTTTCTGAGATGGCAGAAAGGAGGTAGAAACTAACAAATGGAAAGCAAAATCTTGAAATAACAATGACATCTTGGTTTTAATTTGGCTTTGAATACATCGGGTTATGTACGTGTGTGAGTAATCACTTGCAGGAATCAAATCAGAACGTCGAGAAGCAGTGATGTCCAAAGTAATCTTGTGTTCCTGAGCCTCAAGAACCTAACAGAACAGCAGTGCAACTTAGATGCAAATGTTAGCTCCGCAGTCCAGGCCTCTCCATGAAAGCATATATGGTTTTCTCAATCTTGGAAAAAAATAAGTAGAGAAGTATCTGAAAATGGAGTTGCTGTAGTATCTGTTAGTAGTGCCTCAAGATGACCTGATGAAAAATTATTATTTAACCTTGGAATTAAACAAAAAATGTACAGCTACTCAAAAAATCAACAGAAGAATTATATGCTGATTGCTATGCTTAAATTAATGCTATGTTAATATTATTATCAAAGTGCCAAAATGGATGTTACTATTTTACATATCTAAAAGTGTATACTGTACCATTTACTACGGTTTCTGATTGAATACTTCAAAGTCGATTAAAAGAGGCTGCCTGGAACTCAGTGAACCCTCATTTATTCATACTCTTCAAAAGGCACTCACACTCAGATACGCCAAGTCATTTTTAATTTATCTTTCAAATATCTTTTTTTAAAATTTTTACATGAGTTGTGCCTTCTCATGTATCCTTGGGTGAATATCAGGTTTCATTTCATGATCATTTGGCAATTGTAGAAGGTGGAAAGAAAAAAGCCCAAAAATAGGTTGGATAGCAAGTTGAGATGGGGTTGAGATAAATATTGGCCATAGTTACTAAAAAGTTGATATATCATGTGTAGCTAGCAAGTGTTGGATTTGTAAGCCAAATAGTAATTTCGTTTGCTTCTTCGTTTTCACTGACGTGTTATGCCCTTGCTTCTGTACTTCCTTATGCAATAGAGCTCCAAGCCCATTGCCTGCTGCCAGCTGCCTCACACTGGTTGATTTGTGGAAAGATATTTCAATTATTGTCCTAAAAAGGCAAACTTGAAACTTCAGAGCCAGGCCCAGAGGCACATCAGGGCTTGGGCCATGAAACAGTCATATTCGATCCTGTAAATAAAGACACTGCCCCATGCTATATAGCATTGGAATTAGATTAATGTAAAGCCAGTCCTGAGAAAAATAAATATTAAGAATGTCACTTGGGATGCAGTCAAGGATCATAAATAAATTATATCTATTTTCTATGCCACAGTGAGTGCCTGGGCATTGCAAATTCTGTGGATGAGCAGTGTTCAGATTTTAATAGGTATTGAGAGTAAACTGTATTAGGAGTGACGGGTTGGAAGTCTCTCATTAGTCACATCAGATGGTCCCTCTCCTGCCCCGCCCCCCCCCTCGGCCCCAATAAAGACATTCTTGCTTGAGCAACCCTCATACTTGTCAAACACATGTTCTGGATTTGTATTCTAAAGAACAGGTCGGGGTCAAGATTCATTGATTATGGCTCCCTTCCCCCAAATAAAATATCTTCCTTAATACTTGCTTGTTTAGATCATTTCTGGCCCTAAGTCTCCCTCCAATATCAAGCTTTATTTCCTCAGTGCTATCTCAATATGGCCCTAATCATACCAATGCTTTAGTATGTCTAATTTTTTTTTAACTTCAGCTACCTCTTATCTTGCTCATACCCAATCTCTGACTATTGAGCCTGTTACACCTTCTGTCATTGGTAAAATTAAATTATGGGTTAACCTAGGTGATTTCTTCTGGATATTCATAGAAATCTGAAATGGGTTTTTAAGTATTCCAAAATAGGAATATTTTGAATGTATTTGGCTGATCCTATAGATGGAATCAGCAGAATACCACAAAATTGCCTTTACAATTTTTTGGTGATAGTCTTGATTTTAAATAATTTCCTAGATAATAGAATGTGGGTTTTTTTGTTGTTGTTGCAAAAGAATAAATAATTTTTTTTTTTTACAAAATCTCTAAGTCCAGTTAACAACTCCCTGAGTATTTTTAATGTGGATACATTGGCCCTCTGTCCTATTTTT